GGTTTGCCAGACTTTTCAAAGCAGCAGCACACCCACACTCACACAGACACACACAAACACAGACACACACGCGTGCGCACACACACACACACACACACACACACACACACACACACACACACACACACACACACACACAGCGACCCCTCATTCTCCCGCCCCACCTCAAAAAAACTCAAAGGGGGCCGAATGAAAGTCAAGAGTCCCTTTAGGCAAGTGTCTCTGCTCGGCAGATGTCTGAGGATTGAGGTTAGCGAGATAAAAGTGCCGTGCGACACTTTTAATGGTCACTATAACATATTCATTCTCCAAGTTGTGTCACTGAAACCCAACATATGTACAAATCCAACACTATTGTCACAAAAAGAACACTTAGCCAATAATTTAAAGCATGCGGATCATCGATGCCCCACATCCGATAAACGCAGCATTACAATTGATACTCATCAAAGGTATGATTTGACAGTTTGATAGACATTTTATTTTTTTTGTTTGTTGTTAAGATCTAGAATCTCACCACTGTTACTCAAAGACCACTTTTTCAGTTTCTTGGGGAGCACCAGAGGTCAGAGGGGCTGACACTAAAATGACCCGAGGATTAAGATTTAACCCTAACTCTACTAGCAATAGTCAAGTCAAGACAAGTCAAGTACAACTTTATTGTCAAATGTGCTGTACAGCACAGATGAAATTTCTTCCCTCTCACAACAAGAGGAGCCGCTGCGGGTTCCCGCGCCGCCATCAAAAGAAAAAGTTCACATAAAATGACAAAATAATACAAGATAACACATTAGACACAGACAATCGTGCAATCTTAACCACTGTCCTGCATACACTTTGTTGTCTGAAGCAGTTATAGATGAAAGAGGAGCGAATCAAAATGTCCTTTTCACCAGTGGATCAAAGACGTCATGCTGCAATGTGCACACGTGTGCTACAAGCTAAGCTTGAAAGCAACAAGATGCTGTAGCATCCATTAACGAAAAAGAGGTTGGCTCTCTTCTCCTGTCCCATGTAAATCCGCTTCAATTCCAAACCGCGACTCCCAGTTCAACATACGCATCGGCGCTCTGCGCTGACGCTCCTTTCTTCTCGTCGTCGGCTCCTCAAGCCATGCATCCATCCAGTCGCAGACTGTCCATCAGCACCAACCTTTCCACTGAACAAAGCGGGGCTGTGATAATGCTGCCGACTTCAGGCGCGAACCACAAGTGCCCCGGGGCTGTCCAGCAGCGACAGTCAAATAGCACATCCAACCCAACCCTAACTCTAGCAACCCATCTAAAACCAACGCATAAACCTCGCAATCCTAACCCTACAAACCATAACTCCTATCCCGATTTACTCTAACCCAGATTATCCAAAATTTTTAAACCCCTAATCTGCACTAACCCTGACCTCTGATCCTAGCAACCCTACACGGCAAACTACAAAGTATAACTCCTCGCCCCTTTTACTAGAACCCCAACTAACCATAACGACTAACCCTAATGCACCTAAGCGCCATGAAATGGAAACTCTAATCCAAGCAATCTGAATCCATCCTAACCTCTAACCCGGTCCGAGTCGACTGTAAACCTACATAAACATATGACTCCTATCATAGCGCTAACCACGAATCCCAGCCACCTTAATTTGGGTTGGAATACTCAGGATGTCCATTTATAGCATTCAACATTGGTTTAAACGCGGCCTGTTGCCCAGAGCCAAGACAATTTGACGGGTATTAAGCCTTTTAAAAAAAAGGAAAAAACTCCCAGTGAGAGGCTCTTTTTGTTTCCTTGAATAGTTTTTAAACTCTCTCACATTTATGGATTAAACATTTAATTGACATTCTGCCAAAGTGACAAGTAGATATTAATTAGAATTGAAAGGAAAAAAAGATAGCTCGCACAGAGCACGACTTCAAATGAATAATTTATCTACACGAACGCTGCACAAACCAACCACCCACGCACACTGGCACACACACGCACACACAAACACACGCACACGCGCGCACACACACAGTTGAGTTTGTGAGTTCGCGTGAAAGAATAATAATTGCCTTAAATTGCTACTCTGCATATTTTAATAATATGGAATGTGGATCAGTGGGGATTTTTTTTCGGTGCGTGAATAAGTGAGCAATTAAAGTGCAAGTCATGGATGTGGACATGACTGATAGCTGGCAGGAGGAAATGCAAAGAATAACATTATACAATCGAGGCAGAGGTCATAAACACCCTTGAAATCATTGTGGCGAAGCATAACGCTCCTAAGACACTTACTCGTGGAAGTCTTGCCTGCATGTGGTGATGGAGTTTTAAGAACCTTGGGTAGGATGTGCAAAATCTGTCTCATTCTTGCTTTAACATGGAACGAATCCTAAAAGTGTGAAGATGATTTTTTTGGAATGAAGACTATATTTGCTGAGATGACTTTTTCGATGAATACTTACCGATGTTACGTGTAGTTTTTGTAGCACTAAATTTAAGACCAAATAAAATGAGGGATCAAATAAAAATATGGCGGAACAATTACGTGCCCAGAACACAACATTGCAAAGTGATCATCCCGTCCATATACTGGAAGGCTAACTGACGTCTGCACAAAAGCTGTTTAGAACATGCAGGAAGATTCCACACGTAAATTCATTTTAGAAACAGGTTTTGTGCCTCGCTCAGTGCTACTGTTTTGATTGTCAAAGAAGTTCAAATGGGCTCAGCAGTTAAGTCTGGATTAGCAGTAATGACTATAGTTTCAACAGAGTTCTGAGGTTCAAAGTTTGAATCTTGGCTCTGGCTTTCCTGCATGGCCTCATTGTGCTTGCGTAGATTTTCTCCAGGTACTCCGGCTTCATTCCATATACTACAAACATGCATTATCGATTCCTTGAAGACTCTCAATTGTCTGTAGGTGCCAATAATTGTCTGCATATATATGCCCAACCGTTGGTTGTGACCAGTCCAGGCTCTCATGCAAAATCGGCTAGGAAAGGCTGACTTTGGAAGGATTGATGATTCATTAGAATCATTAATAGAAGTGGATATAGGGACCATGCTAATGCAATCTTCATACAGTTCAGATCTATAAAATGCAATTACCGAATTTTCCGCACTATAAGGTGCACCTAAAAGCATTAAATTTTCTCAAAAGGCGAGAGTGCACCCTATAATATATAACAGTCTCTTTATATTCGCCAGTGAGTTGTTTCCATGTTCGTGTTCCTATGCCATTCAGTGGTTTATTAGCAGGAACCAATTGGAACCTAAAAGGGTTCTGCCTGAAACTAATTGACAACACACACTCAAACAGACAACTACTTTGTGAACTCTGCGCAGCCATTATGAAATGAAGACACTACCAAAGGCATAGTTAACTATTGCCTAAACGAAGGAAGAAGGAGACAAGCAAGACTTGTGGATGTGAGCCCATGAGGTTTGGGTGCCTTTTTGTTGAATCAATTGTCTTCATAACTTTTGTCATTCATTTATTGTTTTGTGATGCCATTTGTACGTATTTATATGTCAGTGTTTGTGACCAGTTTTGTTACAGCTGCAGCGGTTGTGAAGGCTCTCTATAAAGCTCTATTGTATTGTATTGTATTCCCTTTAGCATAGCACCATCTAGTGAATGCATAAAGCAACCACAGCCACTATTGTAGCGTCTATTTTAATGCACATTATAAAGCAGTGCATCCTATATCTGAAAACAGTTTCAAAACAGGCCATTCAGTGAAGGTGCGCTTTGTAATCCAAAGCACCCTATAGTGCAGAAAATACGGTAATTGGTGGAAAATAACCTCTTCAAAATGATGTATCAATCACCATCTTTTACCAAATAGCTTGCAAAAGAGATTTAAAGAGACAAAGTGTGCACTTTTTTTTTTCCCCATACCAGATCCATAGAACAATACAAAAGGAAAGGTGCATTTCAATCCAAGGCATCGTTTTTTGGAACAAGCTTGACTAAAAACAAATCAATCCGTTTGTGTTTTCAAAAAATTGTTTAATGTGCAATTACACACAAAAAAGACATTTGATAGTCGTAAACATAGATTATGAATTAGAAATTAGGAGATTGAATCAATTTTGTTATGTATTGTAACATTATGTTTGCAAGTATGCCTTGACTGTCGTATAATAAATAATAATATTTAAAAAAAAATTATGTTTACATTCATAAAGACAAATGCAGACGATGCTATGTTTAACTGTTTCCTTTGGAGGCATGATTGGACAACTGTGTTTATTTATTTTTTAGTTTTTGCACCACATACTGGTTTTCCTTGAAGACATTTTGACAGATCAACAGCAAAAACAAATGATTGAATACAATTCACCCTTACAAGAAAGGTAGTTGTTCTCACTAGAGGTAGATTTTGCATTTATTTCTCTTCAACGAGCAGGTCCTATCTTTGGATAATATTTTGTTCTTTTAAAAAAAAAAAAAAAAAAGCCCTCTCAAGGGTTGCACCTAACACCAGGTGCTTGCTGAACTACTTCATGTGTCAAAGCAGTTCAGATGGCTTCATTGCCTCATTTGCAAGACTTCCACGACATATTACTCAGAGCGAGTTTGGTGCAGTGCGAGTGAGCCAACGAGAAAAAAACAAACAAACAAAAAAAATCTGAAGGGGAACTGCAACTCATTTTTAAATAAATACAGCTTTTATTTTTTGTAATAGCCGTAAGCTATTTTTCGCTCACTATTTGGCTTGCTACCATTTTCTAAGACACTCTCCAAACATGCTCAATTTCTTTCCTCATTTTTTTTGTGGGCTGACTTTTTTAATGTTTCACGTGACCAAGATGAGCGTTTTGGCAGAGGCACAGGTGGACACCCCTGATTTTCCAGACAAACCTCTTTTAGGCTTTTTTTTCAAATTAATTTTTTTTTTGTATGGACTCTGTGTGTGGTGTGGTACTAAATGACCGGTGGTTTGGTGGCTGCATTTGAGGGACAACATTTATTTGGTGAAAATCGGTAGAGGATGCATCAGTGGCGTGCCAACTCACCTTTAAAGTTGAGGCGACGTATGTGCTTGAGCAGGTGTGTGCCATTGATGGGCTCCATCTTGGCGCAGAGGCCCACCTTGCCCGGGCACAGCTCCTGGTGCATATTGTGTAAGGCGTGAGCCATGGAGTAGACGGCGTCAATCACGAACTGCACCTTGCCTTCCTGCTCATAGTTGGAGTCCTTCCCGATCCGCTCTTGATCTACAAGAAATTAGTGGATTAGGAAAATGAATAAAGAAACCTCCATGACTTCATATTGACAGACTTTACAAGACTTTTATCTTAGAGCCAGTCTGAAAATTGAGTGGCTTTTGGTAGAATGCACGTCTCCACCAAGGGAACTTATCTAAGTCAAGTCAATGTATCGACTGCCATTTCACAAAACCGAAGTTCTCTCAACTCACTTTTAGCAGGTCAAGAAGAAAATTCCTCATACAGTGTGGCAGGGCTGGCCTATGGCTAAAAGAACCACTAGGTGGGAGCACATTAATTCCTGTGTTGCAATATGTACAACACTGCATGTATATGTACAACTTTTTATGCCACTAGCCGGCCTTGAGTCAACCTACTACAGTCATACCTCGGTTTTCGATCATAATTCGTTCCAGAAGGCTGTTCGAAAACCGATTTGTTCGAAAACCGAAACCACGCTCTTTAAAAAAAAAATCTTTATTGAACATGTCTGCTCACAATGGAACGCTAAATGAGGAAGCGTCACTTCCTCGTGTAAGGAAGGCGAGAGGAGCCAAGTGGCACATTCAAGTGCGCTCAGTTTGGTCGAGAACCGATTTTCGGTCGTAATCCGAGGCATAAAAACCTCGAAATCTTTGGTCGAAAACCGATTTGGTTGAGAACAGAGACGTTTGAAAACCGAGGTTTGACTGTACAGTGTATTTGACCAATATAAGATGACTTATGCTCTAGGAGCCTTGTTTTGGGCATCAAGTCTCGACAATCCATCCTCACCGGGAGTAACATTTCGAATGTCCCGGAATCATTCACATTTTAAAATTTCAGTTGCCTGTGCCATTGCCCGAAATAAGCGGAGCGAGTGTCACACGTGCGCCGTGTGCACACAGCGCCGATCGAAAGTGTTGCTGAGCTTTAGTTCAATCAATTAACACTTGCCTCAGTGCGCAACACTTAAGATTAAATAGTACAAAGGAGGTGAGTTGACCTGTAGGACAAGAGTGCCTTGTTTGACGAGCGCACTACCGGCTTCGGCCGACAGCAGGCACAAAGTCAGTGAAGTCATAATTGGGTGCAACAGAATACATTTATTGCCAAAACGGACGCATCTATGGAGCAAATGGGAAGAACTAGCTCAGAATAAGTTTGTGTTTACTTGAGGGTGTCTGTTTGCTTATTCCCTGAAAAGGCAGATCATCTCGTTTGATTATTCCTTTTTATCTTGCTCAGTTTTTCTGTAAATTAAAAAAAACATGAATGACAATAAAAATAATTTTGTTTTCGCCCTCAAAAAATAATTTTGCAGAAATAATTTTACAGTACATAACTATTCCAGAAACATGGTTATTACATCCATCCATACATTTTCTGATCCGCTTATCTTCGTGCTGGAGCCTATCGCAGCTGTCTTCGGGCAGTAGGCAGGGGACACCCTGAACTAGTTGCCGGCCAATCGCAGGGCACACAGAGACGAACAACCATCCGTGCTCACAATCACACCTAGGGACAATTTAGAGTGTTTAATCAGCCTGCCATGCATGTTTTTGGAATGTGGGAGGAAACCGGAGTACCCGGAGAAAACCCACACAGGCCCAGGGAGAACATGCAAATTCCACACGGAAAGACTGGAGCCAGAATCGAACCCTGCGCCTTTGCACTGTGAGGCCGACGCGCAAACCAGTCGACCAACGGGCCACCCTGGTATTTACCAGTTTTGCTAATCTAGGTCAAAATTTGGTGCCGGTCTATTGCATTTCTTCAGCACTGTGCAGTATATATTCATAGCTTCCTCTGAAGTTGGTTTTATAATTTTGTCCTAAAATTTACTAACAGAACAGAGGCAGAGACATAATTTCCCCGGTTGAGGTAAACACGCATGTTTCTACCTGAGACAATAGTTAGAGTCAATGTCTTGAGCCTATACTCAACGACTTCATCTGTCCCTGTGTCACTTAGTGGAACAGAGCATTGTAGACAGTGCAATTCCGTGCCAACCCCGCTCAGAATGATGCGATACCTGCATCGGCCCTCTACGGGTTCTCTTATTGTCGTTGTAGAGAGAGGGCCTTGCCTATCGCAATTAGCTGCAAGCTAAATATGTGGAGCTTTGCTGACAAGAGAATCAATTCCAATATGTGAAGTGCAGGTCGGAGGTTGTTCCTTCGTTTTTTTTCTTTTTTTTTTTTTTTTTTATGTCCTGCGGGAAATCTTATCAGCGAAAGGGGGAAAATCTCCTTCTTGTCTCCGCAGAAGGATTACAAGGATTTGTGTGAGAATTACTTAGTAAAGTCTACATGTTCATTTGCCATTATCTTTTACCTTCAGTGCATACTTGTCATTTTTCATTAACTTCAAATTCTATAGCTCTCACGGTTCGCAGACGCCAGAGCTGGGGTTGGAATTCACTCACAGAGCCCTAGCGAGAGAAATTAGGCACGCAGCAAATGTGGACATACATTTGCTCAGATAATCCACTCAATGTAATAACTTGCGAAGAGTGCATTAATCCCGACCCAGGATGATGCAAAATTGTTTTTTTTTTTTTTTTGAGGGCGGTGATGATTAATTGCTTGGAGGTGCACACGACGGACTTCAAGAAGCAGATTCAACACGCCAATCCTAACATATCCGCCCCCACCACAAAAGACAAAAGAAGTGTGGATTAAGCATTGACTAATTAGCAGCGACGAGGTAATCGCCGAGCTGCAGCGACTAATATGGCAGTTTGAAAAGGAATTGCCAGTCAACAGGTGGGTGACTCGCTCTCTTTTCAATTATTTTCAATGAGCGAAGACTGTGGGGAAAAAAGTGTTGCGCAAAGCTATCTTGATTTATATATATATTCTCGGACTGGGTCGCCAGGAAGGAAAGACACCCTTGACCAAATTCTCCTGAATTTATCGTCAATGTGGTCAAACCCCCACGGGGGGGGGGGGGGGGGGGGGGTGTTCTTTCTTTTTTGCATGATTGTTAATGACCTAAGCAGAATGGCGGACGAGTGGTTGGCATGTCTGCCTCACAGGTCTCAAGTTTGGGGTACTTCAGCTTCTGCCCACATTCCAAAAATAAACATTCAGTTCATCCATCCATCCATCCATCCATCCTCACAAGGGTCGCGGGGGGTGCTGGAGCCTATCCCAGCCGTCTTCGGGCACTAGGCGGGGGACACCAAGAACCGGATGCCAGCCAATCACAGGGCACGCAGAGACGACCGACCATCCACGCTCACACTCACACCTAGGGACAATTTTGAGTGTCAGTCAGCCTGCCATGCATGTTTTTGGAATGTGGGAGGAAACCGGAGTACCCGGAGAAAACCCACGCAGGCCCAGGGAGAACATGCAAACTCCACACAGGGAGGCCGGAGCTGGAATTGAACCCAGTACCTCTGCACTGTGAGGTCAACGCTCTAACCACTGTGCCACCGGCCCGCCACATTCAGTTCATTGAAGGCAAAATTAAATTGTACATAATTATGAAAAAAAATGCCATTGCCTTTACCTGTCACATATTTTCTCAACTCAACTGTATTTATAGAGCACTTTAAAACAACCCCCGCTGTATACAAAGTGCTGTACATGGAGCAAATATCACATATACAACAATCAACAATAAAACAATAAATTAATAATGAAGACAGTAGAAAGCACAAAGCAGCAAAACTCAGATCATGTCTGAGTCATGCTGAGTCAAAAGCCAAAGAATACTAATGAGTTTAGAGATGAATTTTAAAGATGGGCAGCAAGGGGGCTTGCCGACTGTTCAGTGGGAGCTCATTCCAAAGAGAGGGACCAGCAACGGAAAAGGCTCGGGACCTCTCAGTCTCCGCTTAGTTCTTTGTACCTCTAATAGTTCTCTGGTCCACAGACCTGAGGCACCGGGCAGGCGTGTAGGAATGAACGATCTTAGAGAGGTCAGGTGGAGCGAGACCATTTAAAGATTTGAAAACAAATAATAGGATCTTAAAAAGAACTCTAAAATATGTATAGGGAGCCAGTGAAGGGATGCCAGAGTACGAGTTATGTGCTCCATCTCACGAGTACCAATCAAGAGGCGAGCAGCAGCATTCTGGACCAACTGGAGACGTTTAATGGAGGATTTTGTTTGTTTTCCTTTGTTTTAAGGTTACGGAAAAAAAACCCCCAAAAAACTAATAAATGCAAATGCAGTATTTATTTCAGCAAATAGCTATGGATAGTTTCCACACACGCACATACCAAAAAATGTATGCTTGATTGGTGAATCTGGACTTTGGGAGGGATTACTGATAATATCAACATCTTAACGCTTCCCGGAAGTGAAGTGTAATCGTAACAGCCAGATTAAAAACTTCTATGAGAGGCCACTGAAAATTGCATTTGCTAGCCTGGACATCGACGAGCCAGAAACTGAGCTGCAATGCTTTTGTTTATGGCGTATTTGTGTGATGAGAGCATGAGGCAGTTAACCTTCCAGTCCCTTACCAAAATGTTCCATGAGGGAATTCCTCAGTTCTGTCCAGAAATATTGGATTATGAATAAATGTATTGTCCAGTTATGCCCCCATAGGGGTTATGCTCAACTGATTTCTGCGCTCGGCAAAATAAGACGAAGCATTTCCTTCTGGTCACTCGTAGAATGACTCCGATGACAGAAGACCGGGACAAAGCTCCTGCAGAAATAGTCTACAAATTCTTCATTTTACATTTTAGATGGATTCAAGATGACCATGTCCGATGTCCCTCACGTTTGCATCTAAAATTCCTGCCACAACAATGTTTTCCGGTTTGGTGACTTGACAATCGTCATAAGGTCCATATGGAAATAAATTATAATGCATACAGCACAATGTCATGTTTGAGGCCTTCACTTGAAGACATGTAAATATGAACTGGATTGATTTCAACTTTAACCCTTTCATGCATCAGGTAACCTGATAAGATGGGAACCTGTCCACTGTAGTAACCGCTGTCCCTGAAAGGGTTAATTTAGGATCCATGACTTTGAAATTTTTGTGAGAATGGGTGAAGTTG